CAGGAAAAAGATGAGGTTGTCTGCTCCCATAAAGATTTACGATTTCGAAATGCTGTAGGGGACACACTGAATCAGAATCTACTTGATGGAAGAATATTTGGTTTAACTTTTGGGGGTACATACATAGACATAAAAATAAGTATGGATGTGCTAAACATGTATGACCACGTCAGTGTGCTTATGATTGTACATAATGTCAGTAAAGCTCTCACCACCATTTAATACATTTTTACCCATCTCAAAAGAATACTTGAGGAAGTCCACAAAATTAATTACTTTTAGACGTTAGCATAAAAATTTACAGTGCTTAGTTGTGAAAAAAACAGGTTACAATGCTACAATGACTTAAGTGTGAATTATGACTTTGTCACTCTAAAGCTATACAATTTTAGGCAAATTTTTAAAATTCTTTAAGCCTCAGTTCCTACGTAGAGATTTTTGGAAAATAAACAAATATATGAGATTTAGTAGAATTTAGACTTAGTATTGTACCATAAGTCCTGGATAAGTGCTAAAAGATTATGAATACTCATTAAAATATGTTCTAATCTGTGCATAAAGAGTATATGCTGCCATATGTTTATTATTTGAGGATAAATAAATTATTGCTACAAAATGATATCAGCCTCTATTTCAATATATCAAAATATAAATCTATTATTTCTTGAAAAAGATAGCCTCTATTTCTACACACTTCTGAAGGTAGTGTGTCCATTTCTCTAACCTCCCCCCCGCCCCCAAATTCTTTGCTTTCCATTTACACCATGTCAAAATGGTACTTTTGGCATACTTGAGGGACTCAAATTGTGTTCCTTTTCAATGTTGTTGGTGTTATGGGAACAAAAAGAAATTTGAAAGGACAAATGCAGGCCTATATGGTGGAGGGTGTAAGGTTTCCCAATAAAATTCTCATAGGACAGCCCTTGTTACCCAGGAAGGATTAGTAACGGGTTGTCATGATGGAGGGGGCAAAATCCTCAGATCAACTTCCCTGGCCCTTTCCTGAAATGTCTTCCGATAAAACCCTGTGATTATCTTTTGTCCTTTCAGAATATCTATCAAGATGATCCCTTCAGAATTCCATAAACATTGTTTCCATAACCTTCTGAGCTTCTGCTTTAAATTTAATTGGCTCAGGAGATTCCCTGGGAAGCAGCTATCTTGACTCGATATTATTCTTAAAGCATTGCAGAAAGATTAAGACAAGAACTTGTCTGCAGCCATCCACTGATCACATAGCCGTGCCTGAACACAGTTTACTTGCAGCAAACATATATGCACGTATGAACTAGATCCTTAGTGGCAAAACCTTTGGACATCCTGTCATATAACAGTGGTGAAACCAAAGACGTGATCCTTGTTCTGAAGGTTCTTATAGTCTATGCAGAGGATAGACATTAAATAAATAAATTTTTTAAAAAACTTCACACAACATAGTCATATCATTACATGCTATAAATAAGTAAAACGGGGAAGAAGTGAGGTAGACTTCCTCATTTTGACTCTTTTCCCCAGCACAAATATGTAATTTGACATGGAGACAAAGGGCAGAGGCCACCCAATTGTCCTTGAGTCTAGCTGTAATTGATGCTTTCCTTTCACTTCCATAATAGCGAATCTCAGTAGATATTATGGCTATTTTCCCTCCCCCTAGGAATCTCAGTCTGAGTTCCTTGTTCAGTTGGAAGAGCAGAAACTGAGTGAAAGCCAGATTCGGACACACATCGGTAATATCTTCTGATGAGCAACAGAGTGCTATTGGCTCCTGGTCCTAATGTCACATCCAACTTCTGTTCATCACTTTTGATGGCCAAGTTCTGCTGCTGTGATCTAGGAAACAGGCAAAAAACCAAACAAACAGAGAATCTTCAGAAGAATGACAGTTGATCGACACCGCTCACTTTAAGCCATGCTTAAAATAATAAACTGAAATGTATTAGAAATCATTGCTGAGGTACTGGTAATTATGCACCTCTGCTTTAAAAGCCTGTCTTCCCTGGAGAAATATTATGTTATTGGGTCATCCCTTCTGCCTTCTTCATGATGCCTTAGCCTATGCACACCAAACAATGGGGAATACCATCAACGCTAAATGAAATACTTGCCTAAGTATATCAGAAATAAAGAAATTGGGTAGACTCCAAGGAAGGCCAAAATTGGCTAAGATTTTCATTCTCGTGATGGAATTGATCCGACGGCACACGACAAAACAACCTTCACATCAGAATCTAAACAAAGCAAAGGAACTTCAGATTTAATTGTATTCCCATAAATCCACCAATATCAAAAGTCAGAGAACCCAGACTCTGTTGGTATAGTGGGCTACATGTGGGCTGTTAACTGTCCCGACAGCAGTTCGAAACCACCAGTCACTTTCAACTCTCCTCAGAATGTACCCTCTCCTAAATCCACAGGGGCAGCTAGACTCTGTCCTGCAGGGTCTCTGTGAGTTGCAATACTCGTGATGGCAGTGAGTCATCCTCTGACTATAAGGCCTATCCTCTGTGTACTGTCCCTAGTGTGCCTACAATCCCTAAGGATCTCCTAATACACCGAATGACCACACGGCCCATTTTCATGGTCAGAATCTTTGCTTTGGGAGATGATAGGAACAGGAAGAGCCAGTGACAATGACTCTGTAGCCTTGAATGTGACTCTCCATTTGTTTCTGGTGCTTGACGAAAGTATCCTTCCTCAGTAATTCTACTCTGAGTTTTCTGCAAACCTGTAAGTAGGGCGCATTTGGATTAGTGCAGGTGTATTGTATGAAGTGCAAGTTTCACAGGCAGAGCCCTGCGGCTGCATTTCTAGATACAGTTTATGCTCTCAAACATCTTTTTTTATTCCAGAGAGCAAATGGCCTGCTATGTACGTTTTCAAGGTTCACTAGAAATTAGCGGCAGCATTGAGCTGTGTTTCCAATGGAATAAAAATGTCGAGCCCAGCTCTGAAGGGGGATCCTGGTCTGATTGTTCTCACTCATCTAAGTGACCTAGACTGTTAAAGGTTGTCAAAGGAAAGTATCCTAGGCCTTTGTCTCTGCGGCCTATCTATAATGGATGTTCACGCTTTCAAGCTATTTACTAGATTTAAGAAAGTATTATGTAGCGACTGGTGGTGGTACCAGTCAGTCATTATCCTGATTCACAAATGTGAACGAACCTTCGAAGTAGTTACTGTTGTCACCGTCTCATAGATTGAAAAACTGAGGCATACTTTAGATTATTTGTTCAAAGTTAGAGTGAAGGAGTTGGGATTTAAAACTAAATACTCTTCTTTTCATTAATAATTTTTAAAAAAGTAATGGTACGTGATGTTACCACAAAGCAGAATTTACAGCATCCTTATTCCTGACAATGTTCCTTAAAGGGATCGTTCTTTTGCTATTTCGGAATCATAGGAGCCTATAGGAAAAGTGTCTGACCATGTCCAGGCCTTTGAAGAACTTGAAAAAGATAAGGAATAAGAGAAAAAAGATGGGAAATCTCAGAAATAGTTGGGTGACATTTTCATATCAGCATGGCAAGTATTTGCTAATGGATTTTAGAGTAGGTTATTTCCAAATCATTACGATCCAAACAATAGGTCACTGCTATTGAGTCCATTTGTACTCTTAGTGACCCTACAGGTCAGAGTAGAACTAACTGCCCAATAGGGTTGTTAAGAAGCGCAAATCTTTGCATAAGCAGGTTGCTGCCCATCTCTCTCCCCAGCGCCTGCCGGACTCCAGAGGCCAGCATTTTGGCTAGCAGCTGAGTGCTTTACCTACTGCACCACTAGAGTTCCATATAATAGCTTGTGTGATTTTAAACACAAAATGTATCCATGATTGTTGGATTATTTCCTTGCTTATATCTATACTGGGTAGATTTTTTAGCGTGTCCTGTGTACAGTGTCCAAACAGGAAACTAGGGGGAGGGGCGGCTGCTGGAGAAATTATCTCCTGAAAAACCTTACTTTCTTCCATCCCAATGTTATCTTTGGCAACAAAACTACCACATGAGAGCCCCCTCTCCCTGTCATTTCACTGTTTCCTAAATAACGCAACAAACTCTGAGATCCCTGCCTATCAAAACCTTCATTTGTATATCCTATTTTTCTTTTGCAAAGGGGAACCGCCATGTGATATGAAGCAAAAGCAAAACAAACCCGAACAAACAAGCCCCAACAATAACCCAATGCTGTCTCTGAAAAAAAATGAATGCCCTGAAACAGGCTGTCTCCTGGGGAATTGCAAATCGTAGTCCCCTTTCTGCGGAACTGTGGTCTCCATGTTTCAAATGGACTTATTTCTCCTCTCGGAACAGAGAGCGATCTAATGAATTAACTAGTTAGGGACTATTTGGTTGGACAGAATAGTCACTGCATCTTTCTGCGAGCCGAGCAACAGAGCGTCCTCTTCCTATGGTGGAGCGCAGGAGCCTGGAAATCCCAGTGGTCGCATCCTTCCTTGTAAGCTGCCCCCAAGGCTTCTCCCGCTAAACTGGCAGTGTGTTTTGATTCCCTACAGTGCAGTCTCCTTGCCTTTCTATCCATCAGGTCCCAGGCAGCTCCCTCAGTCCCAACGGGAGCTGAGTTTGCAAGCTGCCAGGGGCTGGAGAGGGCTGGTGGCGCTGATGTCAGAGGCAGAAGACAGTTGTGATTGGATCTAATTAGACTTTGCAGCAGCAAATCGACAAGCTCCCGGCGTGATTGGCTTCAAAGTGGCTGGTGCCAAACAACTAAGCAGAGGGGCAAAAGTAGGACCTCTGCATTTATAGCCCGGAGAGAGAGGCTGACTGAGCGAGCAAGAGACTCCAGCGAGAGCTTTGGACTCGCGGGTCGGTCTGCACAGGAGAGAGAGAGAAAGAGA